GGTAAGTCACTAACTCAATATCATCCAAAATGACAATTTTCTGATAAATATCAAGAATACCCTCATGGCACTGAGAAAAATATATATGACTAGACAATAATTAGGCACAAGCACAACATTCTAGATTAAAAAGCAAAGATAGGTTGCCAGGCAACAAAACATAAGCCCACAGCAGCTAAGTTGTCCGGGCAGTTAACCAGGTTTGTCGCATATTTTTTCTTGTGTCAATAATGAAAACATTAACAACACACTAAAATCTGATTACGAGTAACAACTCATTAAGTAATTATCCAAAATCATTAGAATTTGTTTCGATTGTTTGTGTCATGACTGTAATAACTTTTATCAGTAATAATTCCATGATTCATGTTGTAAGTTTGACTTATTGAGAATAACATATCATACAAGCCGCCATGCTCGGACCAACAACAGAAGTGAGCAAAACGAAAGTTAGAAATAAGGAGGTGACGTTCGGTCGTTAATTGTAGTCCAAATAATGTGACATCCCTCTTTATAGGAATTTAAGAGTACTTCTTAACTAAATATTTAAAAGTCAATTCTTGACCTAACTGAGTCACGATTTCTAATCTGAAACACTGAACAAAATACACACAGAATATCAGTTCACGTTATAAACTAAGTTTATCTGGCGGTTTCGATACACATCCACTTCTAGTCCTTGAATACTGGTTATCAACCAACATCTTGTGGATTCTTCTGCATGTAGTTTGGGTTAGTTTTAAGTTGATGTGTCTGTGTTGATGTCTGTGGTTTGGTGGTTGTACAGTTAACAAGAGTCGGTGTTCATAAGTCGACCAGTTTCGGCTCAAATGAAAACGTACATGTTTTGAAGGTGTGTTAGGACTTAGGTGTGAGATCTTTGGGATATATAGGTTTTTTTTTAAGTTTCATCAAAATCAGATAAAAATTGTGACCTCTAGAGGAGCCACAACCCTCATATTACACACTTCTACACAATTTGCGTACAAAGAGCGGCCATTTAGTTGGGCAGTTTCATTTCGATTTTCCCGAAATTTGAATTCAACCTTCATTATGGTGGAATGGTGATGTATTTACGACCACATTTTCAAGATGGATAGAGAACAAGCTAAAAAGAAAGTGATTTTTCCTACAATCAAGGGCCATAATTCAGGAAATTACAATTCGATATGCGCAAATATCGAAAGGAACTGAGATCTTTGTGTTATAAACTTACGTTTCAAGTTTCAACAAAATCGGATAAAAATTGTGACCTCTGTAGGGTCCACAACCTTGATATACCATATTTTTACGCTATTTGAGAACGAAGGGCGCCCATTTTGTCTGTCAGTTTGGGGCCGATTTTCACGAAATTCAAACTCAGCCGTCCTTAGGGTGTAACGGTCATATAATAATACGTTTTTTTTAAATCGGATAAAAATTATTACCTCTATAGGGTAAACAAGCTAAAAACACGAGATCTTTGGGTTATAATCTTACATTTCAAGTTTCAACAAAATCAGATAACCAGCGGCTGCCAGGCAGGATACGCCCACATTTTCGAGAGATGAATAGAGAACAAGCTAACAAGAAAGTGATTTTTCCTACAATCAAGGGCCATAATTCAGGAAATTACAATTCGATATGCGCAAATATCGAAAGGAACTGAACAAACGGCAGCCATTTTGTCTGTCAATTTTGGGCCGATTTTCACGAAATTCGAACTCAGTCCTCCTTAGGTTGTAACGGTGACATAATAGAACGTTTTTTTTAAATCGGATAAAAATTATGACTTCTATAGGGTCCACAAGCTAAAAACGTGATTTTTCGTACAATCAGGGGCCATAATTCAGGAAGTTACGGTCCGATATGCACGAATATCGAAAGGAACCGAGATCTTTGGGTTATAAACTTACATTTCAAGTTTCAACAAAATCGGATAAAAATTGTGACCCCTATAGGGTCCACAACCTTGATATAGCATATTCTTACGCTATTTGTGAACAAACGGCGGCCATTTTGACTGTCAATTTGGGGCTGATTTTCACGAAATTCAACCTCAGTCATCCTTAGGGTGTAACGGTGACATAATGGAACGTTTTTTTAAATCGGATAAAAATTATGACTTCTATAGGGTCCACAAGCTAAAAACGTGATTTTTCGTACAATCAGGGGCCATAATTCAGGAAGTTACGGTCCGATATGCACGAATATCGAAAGGAACCGAGATCTTTGGGTTATAAACTTACATTTCAAGTTTCAACAAAATCGGATAAAAATTGTGACCCCTATAGGGTCCACAACCTTGATATACCATATTCTTACGCTATTTGGGAACGAACGGCGGCCATTTTGTCTGTCAATTTTGGGCCGATTTTCACGAAATTCAAACTCAGTCATCCTTAGGGTGTAACGGTGATATAATAGAACGGTTTTTTAAATCGGATAAAAATTATGACTTCTATAGGGTCCACAAGCTAAAAACGTGATTTTCCGTACAATCAGGGGCCATAATTCAGGAAGTTACTGTCCGATATGCGCGAATATCGAAAGGAACTGAGATCTTTGGGTTATAAACTTACATTTCAGGTTTCAACAAAATCGGATCAAAATTGTGACCTCTATAGGGTCCACAAGCTAAAAACGTGATTTTTCGTACAAACAGGGGCCATAATCCATGAAGTTTCGATCCGATACATGCCAATATCGAAAGCAGCCGAGTTCTTTTGGGGATACACCTATATTTCAAGTTTCATCGAAATCGGATAAGAATTGTGACCTGTAGAGAGTCCACAAACAATTGTGGACGGACGGACAGACGGACGGACAGGGGCGACGGCATAATACGTCCACATGAAAATGTGGGCGTATAAAAATTGTGACCTCTATAGGGTCCACAACCTTGACATACCATATTTTTACGCTATTTGAGAACGAAGGGTAGCCATTTTGTCTGTCAGTTTTGGGCTGATTTTCACAAAATTCGAACTCAGCCATCCTTAGGGTGTAACAGTGATATAATAATACATTTTTATCAATCGGATAAAATTGTGACCTCTATATATAGGGTCCACAAGCTAAAAACGCTATTTCTTGTACAATCATGGGCTATAATTGAGGAAGCTATGGTCCGATATGCGCGAATATCGAAAGGAACCAAGATCTGTGGGTTATAAACATACATTTCAAGTTTAAATCAAATAGGTTAAAAATTGTGACCTCTACAGTGGTCACAAGCTAAAAACGTGATTTTTCGTACAATCAGGGGCCATAATCCATGAAATCAGATAAAAATTGTGACCTGTAGATTGTGGACGGATGGACGGACAGACGGACAGGGGCAATGACAATATACGTCCACATGAAAATGTGGGCGTATAAAAAGTCAGTTCCACTAAAATTATGACTTTTCTCTGTCATAATGGTAAAATAAAGTGAACAAGTATCCCCTAAGATTTTTTTTTTTAAAAATAGAACACAAATATTGTCCCTCACGTTGGCAACAGTGTTCAAAGTAAATATAAATATAACTTTTAAAAAGAAATATCGCCCCAAATGACGGTCACTTCATCGCTATTGGCATTTGACATTTCTGCCTTTCTTTGGATATATGACAGGAATTGTCATCTTATTTACTTCATTGCGTCGAAAATAAAAATATATAGTTGAAATCTTCGACAAGCGTGTATTACATCCTAAAAGTTTTGATTCAATTTAGCTTTCCAATGTCTAGAATTATTAGCCGTAAGTTTTGTGGTATCGTCCGTGTGAATGCGTGTCCAAGATGGCGGCCGGGACGCTTGATCTTAGCTCGAGTATACGTATTCCTCACATCATAACGTCAAAAAAATAATAAATAGTTGATTTCTTCGACATTATCATATTCAACGACATGCCTGGCAGTAAATCATAAAAAATCTGATTCCATTTCACTCTCCATATCATAAAATTATTAGCCGTAAGTGACAACGTGAAAATATTGGAATAATGCCCAAGTCATTGACACTGTGTGAATTCACCTCTGACCTATTACGTAAATACCAGAAGATCCTTTGTTGAAACGTATGTTTTTTATTCGATAAATAGCGAATATAACATTCGTTTTCATTGGGTGTTTTATTTTTATTACTCAATCACCATTAATTTAAGAAATAAAAACAATAGAAATCAGTTGATTGATCTGGCGCTTTTCTTCGCTAATGCTGTTGCCAGGTATGATGGTCGTGAAGGAATGTCTAATCGCATCAGTGGTTCCTTGATATTAGATCTAGCATTTTCTTCACAGACTGTGCACTTGTGGATGAAAGTGTCAATGTCATTGCTAATTCCAATCCAATAAATATGATTTGACGTGCTAGGAGTGTTGTCCATAGGCGTACGAGCTGGGGGGGCTGGGGGGGGGGGGTGTCCTTCATGTAATTTCGCAAGTAATTCTTTTTTCATTGTAGTAGGTATCACTATCTGCTCCCATTTTAAGATTAACCCAACATGGACGGTCAACAGATCTCTCACAGAATAATACGGTTTTAAAATTCTGAGCGCAATCAGGCCATCCAGTCACAATAACTTCCTTCAAGTCAAGGGTGAAAGAACAGGGTCATTATTAGTCTCTTGTACTAGACAAGATTGTTTGACTTCTGTACAGACAAATGTGTACATGCATATCAAGTTCTATTTGAGGATCAGAAAATCGGATATTACCTTCAGCCTCTAGGGTGTCCACAAGATTTTTCAAAGTGAGCAAGAGCCATAACTATGGCAGTAATTATGGCAGAAATTGTTGAAAATCAATTGGATATTAACTTTAGCCTCTAGGGCATCCACAAGCATCCACAGACGGACGGGGGCGACGGGAATATATGACCACATTTCAATGTGGGGGATAAAAACGATGGCCAGCAATATTTCCCAATACGAAAGTATTGATGTCATTTGTTCATCATTAGTTTAGTGTTCTGGCTTTTAGGGGACTTTTTAATGTTGACATTCTTATTATTTTTTATATTCTAGAATAAGGATACACATCTGTTGGTGAAATTCTGTTGACAAATGACTTTATGGAGAAAATCATACCATACATCAGCTTAAATTCCTGAAAATGTACAATTACAATAAATTCAGATCAGTGGTTGCCATGCTAGATATGCCCAGATTTTGCAAGAAATGGACGGGGAAGATGTAAAATCAATAGGGCTCATCCTCTCATTGTCCCAATGCTTTACATGCTTAACATTTTGCAAGATATGGACGGAGAGCAGGGAAAATCTATAGGGCTTATCTTCTGATTGTCCCAATGCTTCACATTGAATTTGAATTATAAATCAGTTAAAAACTGATTCAAGATTTACCATTGTAATTTAATCTGTCATACACATGCTGACAATGGCTCAGTTTTAAAAATAGTGTCACTATTGGTCAAGCCATTGCATTGTTTTAAGCCTGGTGTACATCATCACTTGTAACTGGAGCAACTAGTTGCTGGCAACTGGGAGCAACTGAGAGGATACGATCAGTTGCAAGTTTGTGTCAATGTACGCATGCCTTTGACTGGAAAACCACCAGTTGCAACAAGTTGCTGCTAGTTACCTGTGTTCTACTTTTCCGGCAACAGGTTGTAGGCTACTCAGTTTCTCAAAAATGGTTGATTTACGCGCAGATAGTGCGTTTGTACGACCAAGAAGTCACGTGGGTCATCACGTGACCAGTATTCATTGCTATTGGCATAGATTCCCTATATATACTGACATTGTCTGCTAAATAATGCATAGTTTCGATCCAAATGACGTTATGACCGGAAGTCTCTTAGCGGCCATATTGGTGGGTAAAGTGTCGGTAGTTACAAAAAGCGACGTATTGTTAGTTTTATTCAATTGTGGTTCTTTCACCATCTAATTAATGGTTCAACACTGTGTTGAAGTCAGCTGTACTAGCCATGGCGGTGTTGATAAAGTGTCCTTCTTTAGACTGCCGGCCAAGATAACTAATCAGGGAGAAGAAACGCATCAACTGTCAAAGCGACGCAGAACAACCTGACTGTCAAGAATTAGTAGAGATCTGCACCTCAACACGTATCAACATATTCAATATGTTCACAACTTTTTGTTAGTGGTAAGTGCGGTAGGTAATCACGGCCAGCTGTTGTCTCTCAGTTAGGTAGATAAATTTTACATATATTTAGGGGTTAAAATATCTTATTACTTTTAATAAAGTAGCTTCAAAGGCGTCAGATAACTAAATATACACCCACAGCAACTAAGGGGTCCGAAAAGTCAACAAGGCTTGTCAAATATTTTTTCTTTTCCCAGTAATGAAAACATTTACAAGACACTAAAATCTGATTCTGAGTAACAAGTCGTTAAGTAATTATCAGAAACTGTTAGAATTTGTTTGGCTTCTAATACTTCTGCTCTACACTAATGTTTAGTATTACTTTCTCGGCCGATCCCTGCATTGGCCGAGAAAGTTCGTCCAGATTTTCCGGCGTAGTTCCCCCTTGTCAGTGATACAGGACGGAGGGCCTGACAAGGACAGCTGTCTAGTCGTTCGGATGGGACACATTGGCGTGCATGTAAAAGATCCCTTGACAATTGGAATTCGATATAAGAGTAGGCAATAGTGCCGCTGTCCGGGCAAAATTTCCCTCATAGCACACTGTATGGCATATGCCCGTCTTCATTAGCCCAATTCGGAGCAGAACAGTAGGACGTTAAACCCCATTTCATTTCATTTCATTTAATATTAAGCGTTATATCTCTGGAAGCTTTCAGATATTAATTTTACCCTCTACAGCGTTAACAAGATTTTCAAAGTGATCAAGGGCCATAATTCTGGCAGTAATTATCAGAAATAGTTGAAAATCAATAGGCTTCTTCGTCTCATGACCTGAAACAATGTGTATGAATTTAAAGTCATTCGGATATTAACTTTAGTCACTGGGGAGTCGTCAAGATTTTTCAAAGTGATCAAGGCCATAACTCTGGCAGTAATTATCCGAAATCGCTGTAAATCACTAGATTACAGCGTCCGCAAGCAATTGTGGACGCCGGACGGACAAGGGCGATGACAATATACGATCACATTTCAATGTTGGCGTATAAAAAGTGTTTTAAACGTCTTCTCGTGCCAAGAAATAACCAATTTTGTCAGTATCACTTTTAAAGAATTTTCGCACTTTAATAAGGCTTTATAAACGGTTAATTCTGTTCAAATTTTAATAAATTTTCTGTCATGCAAAGGACAATCGAAGTGGTTATTTCTGTAATCCAATTTAAGTATTTTGTTGATAACGGAAGTGATGTCATTGTGTCAAGTCTTCGATGTATAAATGGAACTGATATGGCCGAGTTACGTAAATTTGTCCGTTACCCTATATTTAGATTTCAATGGCGTCTGTCAAGCTGTTTAGCAGACGGGGACGTATTTGTGTTGTGTGGCACATACTGGCTCTAGCAAGGTAGCAAGGTCTTATTTTCTCACTACAATGTTCCTTAACATTGTAGAGGCATTCACGGGGACTGAATGGGAAGCGATACATTTTTGACAAGGATTCAATAGGACGGTTCCTGAACGTACAGGGCGAGTGTAATGAGACCTACGTTCAGAGCTGAACTAGAGACAAGGCAAATAGCTACGGTACTTTAGATATTTTATTTTTGACGAATCTTCGCTGATATTAGGCGCCAAATTTAGAAAATTTAAATTGTTACAAAAAACTTTTTTATTTATGAATAATTTTTGCTGGTATTTTACACAAGATTAAATAGGGTTCTATTTCAGTAACGGACCTCTACCAGTTCCCGTGATCGTAGAGACTTGAAATTTGTAGCCGAATCGGTCAATAACTTTTTATTTTACCATATTTTAGCTTCTGCCGAGGGAAAAGTTTTTCCAATTTTGACACTATTTTGTTTGTTGACTATTACAAAGTAGCTAAAAGTCTAAACTATCCCTTCCGATACATTGATGACATAACACCCATCAATGATAACAGAGAGAGAGAGAAATGGGGTTTAACTTCCACACAACAGAAACAAGGTCTTTTCAGGACCAACATATGGTTCAATTTTATTTCAATAATTCGCTTGCGCGTAGGGGTCTTTAGCAGTGGGAGGAAACCGGGGGACGTGGAGAAAACCTGTGGGATTGGACAGGCGACACTACTCCTTGTCACTACCCCAGACCTTATGATACAGCGCGCACATGCTAACCATTCGGCCATCCAACCCCCCTCAATGATAATGGAACTTTCAACAAATATAAAAGTGAAATATATCCCCCAGAACTAATATTAAATAAAGAAAATTCTGGCACTATAAATTAATGAGTATAAATGCATCTGTTATTGACCTGGATATTAATATGATTAACGATAAATTTAATGTCGGTATTTTTGACAAAACGGACTCATTTGGTTTTGAAGTAGTAAAATACCCGTCAATTTATAGTAACATACCAGATACCACGCTATATAGTGTTTTCTATTCACAGGCATTACGATTTTTGACAATGTGTAACGATAAAGAACTTTTTCTTTCCCGAATAAAATCTCTTTAAGTGCACTGCCAAAGGCAGTACACATTTATGCATTTTAAAAGAAATTTCAAAACTTCCATTTCTTCAACATACCAAGTTTGACATTTCTTATAAGTATATAATTACCGACTACATATTGGATAATGATCCAATTTAATATTTATTTTAAATTTTCTGTAGTTTCCTAATCCTATCTGGATTATCACCCTTATTTTATGCCTTTATAAATACACTTCCATAGTACAATTTCTTCAGCATACCTGTTTTGCATTTCTTGTAGGGGTATTACGTATTATAGTTTTGCAATTACATAACTTAATAATTCCGATTAGTTGCTAAATCGATAGTTTATTAACCTTTTGGCGTTATTTTGTTTGGATTATCACCCTTTTCATTGTGTTTTTTTTGTAACTTTTCTAATTTTGACGTCATTTACGTCACGTCATTGTCTTTCGAGACCGTCTACTTTTTCTCATTTGCTTCTTTGTATTCAGTATTGTTTGTTTTTTTGCTCTGTTTTTGTGTTGGGTACCGTATTCAATATGCTTCGATTCTATTGAATACTAAAACGTTTCTAAATTGACTTAGAGCATTTAGTTTTAGACTACCTGTTTTTTTATACATTTCACCGTTGTGGTTAATTGCATAGTTAATTTTTACTGCAATAAGCTTACATTTGTATTTCTTGTAACAAATAGCAGATCATGACTCATGTTGGCATTACACAACAGTTTCTCTACTTCTAGGTTATATTCCTGATTGTTTTCAAATTTGAGTGAAGTCTGTATCACTATAGGCCTGGGACTGTAGAGCGCAGTGGACACTTACTGCTAGCCCCCGGATCCATTCATTTAATTTGAATTGTTTGTTTGTGATTTCTGGTGTTGTGTCTTGTCTGTATATTTGTTTTTGTGTTAATTATGTGTGGTGCAGTCCCCCTGAACTTACTATTAGACTTGAACAACAAGACACTAAGACGGGTTCCGACACACTACGCTTCCTGCCTAACGCTGCAGTTCATGATAATAACAATAATTTTCGCATATTCTAATTTTGTGCTAAACCACCATTTTCTATAAACGACTATTTGACGTTGACCAGTTGGATTGGCATTTACGTGTTAAAATCGCTGTGGCCTTGACTTTGACTTCTAATTTTCTACCGAGCTTGGTGCTTTTGCGTCTATAAATGCTATGGCCATATTTCTTGCTGTATTATCGAGGTTAACGTTCGAGGTGAAAGCAGAGATGATGGGCTTTAGAAAAGTTAATTGGGTCATAGTCGTGTGTCAAGATCGTGTTACTGAAAACTGACCTTTACCAGGGTCCTGTCAAATACTGCGTGATCAGAAAAGGGCCAAACTTAGGGTTCGTGTTCAAAAGGAAGTCAATGGGGGTGGTCAATATAAAGGTCATGGTAACCTCTAGTCATAAACGCTAACCAACCGTAACCTTGACTTTAACCCGGAGTCCAAACTTTTATGTGTGTCATGGTCATAATAATTTCTTGCTGTTTTATCAAGGTTAGTGTTCGAGGGTGAAAGCAGAGGCAATGCGCTTCAGAAAAGATAATTGGGTCAAGGTCATGTTACAGAAAACTGAACTCAAACTTTTCAAATTCACTTTTTGGATATTTACAACCTTTAGCCCGCAACCACTTTAAAAGGCCATCATTGACCTTTACTGGTGCTATATAACTTTTGCACCACCCTGTGGCCTATTAAATCGATTGCACCTTACTACGAGAGTCAGTTAATCCAAGCCCGTATTTCTAGCATTAAATACACAGATAAAGTCCTGTACATAGGTCAACCTGTTATCACGACCTTCCATTAATACGGCAATTCGTTCTTCAGACTTTTTTCTAGTTTTATATAGTTAACGACCGATAAATCTGACAGTCCGTCCATTAGTGCGAAAGTTCGTTCTTCACACGTTCTGGTAGATGATCCATAAATCTAACAGACCGTTATTTTCATTGTCCCTTAGTATCAAAGTCTGTTAATTTGACCTCGTATTTCTGGTATAATATACACAGTTAACTTTTCATACAGCGTTATCAAGAGCCCCTTGTACATTGGTACGATATCGGCTTGCTTGTTACAGTCATAATAAAATATACAAATTTTTTTCACTAATCTGATTCTTTTTTACACTTATTACTTTGTAAATAATTTATTTCCATATGTAATTGTTAACGATATCACTTTAGATGAAGAGGACGTTAAATAACAGTATTTCACACACACGACATAGCGATGTGTTGACAGGCTGAACTTTCTTACATCATCTAGAAAATGAACTTTTTGTAATAGCACACATCAGCGCAAAGGCCCTGAGATCGATGGAAAATTTGAAGTCAAGGTCCCGGTGATAATCATACGTAAAGGCCAATCCAAGTGGTCAATGTCAAATAGTCGTTCGTAGAAAATGGCTTAGCACACAAAAATTAAAATATACTAAAATTATTATTATTATTATGAAATGCAGCGTTAAGCAGGAAGGACAGTGTGTCGGAATCTGTCTTAGTGTCTTGTTATTCGTGTCTAAATAGTCAACAAACAAAATACGGTAAAATAAAAAGTCATTGACCGATTCAGCTGAAATTTTATGTGAGGTCATGGCTAGTCCCACAGAATATATCAAGTCTCTACGATCATGGTAGAAGTGCGTTACTGAATAATTGGATAATTCAGTTTTCAGGTCCTAGATTAATTATTTATTGTTCGATTTGTATAAAACAAAGTTCATATGCTCTGTGGTCCCAAATGTCATTTTTTTGTTACAGATAAAGTTTCTGGTTGGTACCGAAAGTGACGTTATTTTACCAAAAACTACAATTTTGACAGTTATACACTGTTACAGTGTTAGTATAGAGTGAAGCTCTAAAGCAAAGCTCTTTTCCGGTAACACAGTAACGTAAACTAAAACTGTCGGATACATTGAGCAAAAATGGCAATGCACATGCCAACTTACCAAATCTCGTCCAAGCGAGATTACGCCTCTAGAAATATATTTATGACATGTTTTGGGGATCACGTGCATTGGCCAAGAAAGTTCATCCAGATTTTCCGGTGTGTTTTCCCAATGTCAGTGAATGCAGGAAGGAGGGCCTGAAAAGGACAGCTATCTAGTCCTTCGGATGGGACGGTACATATTGGCGTGCACGTAAAAGATCCCTTGGCAGTTGGAATTTGATATAAGAGTAGGCCGTAGCGCCGATGCCCAGGCAAAATTTCCCTCATAGCACACTGTATGGCGTATGCCCGTCTTCATTAGCCCAGTTTAGGAACAGAACAGTAGGACATTAAACCCCATTTCATTTCATTTATGAAATGTTTAATCAATGACGTCACATATATGATATTTCTGACGTCAATGAAAATAATCCTCACACTTTTTATACAATATAGATCTAATAAATTAAAATCAATTCAGAAAAACAAGATTATTTAACATTACTTGTGTCACTTGAGAAACTTAATTATGAAGGTTTTATATTTAACAACAATCACAACAGCTTCGCTCAACTCAGGCAATGTCTGTTACATATTAATTATAATATAATATACGTAAATTCATGTATTATTAATATAGAGTGAAGTTCTAAAGCATCGCGCGAAACGCGGTGCTTGAGCAAAGCTCTTTTCTGGTAACACAGGAGCGTAACTGAAATTGTCACCTACAGACTGTTGATTAAAAAACAATTCAGATCGGAACCGGATACACTGGGCAAAACAGGCAATGAGCATGTCAACTTACCAAATCTCGCCCAAGCGAGATTACGCGCCTCATAGAACTATTTCTATGACGCGTCTAATAAATGACGTCAAATATTTTTGACGTCAATGAAAATAATTCTCACACTTTTTTGTTCCTTTTTTAAAAACAAAATTAATATATACAATTTAGATCTAAATGAAAATCAATTTGGAAAAACTAAATTATTTAACATTTTTTGTATCACTTGAGAAAATTAATTATGAAGATTTTACGGTTTTATATTTGACAATAATCAGCTTCGCTCTACTCAGGCAATGCGTTACATATTATGATTATGAAGTAATTTCAAAATCTGTGTTGATTACCTCTTCCGAAGACATACCGGATTGTTTACGTCTATTCCATTCAATGTAATACAAACACACGCCATTTCTGTCGAAAATATAAAAATTATAGATTGTCATTTTCAATCATTCAATAAAAAAAAAAAGTCTTCGTAAAATGATTATTGATAGATCTATTGTATTTTATTTAGATGAAGAACGCTAGATCGGCGACGGTCCTGCACGTTTTAGCACATATGACGTCATATATGGATTGTGGGTTAGGGTTAGGATAGGGGCTAGGACATGCAGATTTCGTAAAAATCTGAAGATGTAAACAGGACTAGCCCCAACACTAACCCTTGACCAAGCCTAACCCTTACCCTAAACCTAACGCACAATCCGCATATGACGTCATTCGCGCATGACCGTCTCCGATCTAGCGTTCTCCTGTTTTAGATGACACCTTCCGGAAGTGCCCCACTACATCATTTCGGCATCCGCAGTCTAATTAAATTTTATTTACATGACTCCTGATTTTGTTCTCATGATTTCCCATATTTATATCTCAGCATTATAGAATTTTATTCTTCGATTAAATTTATCTGTGCTAGATACATCTTTAATCAGTAGTTCCCTTTATAACAGACTTATTTACGCACACTGATCCGCAGTGAATATTTGCTTGGCCGCGACAATCACTGATAAGGATGACATTGATGCGGCTTAAAGAACTAGAAATATTAACTTTTTTCCTGCGACAAATTAAATTCTAAAACATTTTTTATATATATTGGAAAAATAAATAAAGGCGTTTGACGTATTTGTAGTTAAAAATTATTTCCGATTTAGTGTAAATGGGTATTAAAATGACTAAAATGCAGCATTATCTCCGAAGCAGTTATGTCTTATGTAAACAATGCACGCGCCATTCAGCCAATGATTCACACCGCGTGCTGTGACAGCACGTGTTAAGGCAGTCATCTATGACAGAGATATTATACGAGACTCGTAATTCTCTGTGAAACAGATTGTTATTTACGTAGTGATTTTATATATAGTCCCACTCTTCCATATTTTGGAGAAAATATTAATGAAACGAATCTTTTTTTTATTATTATTATTAATATGTAACAGGCATTGCCTGAGTAGAGCGAAGCTGATTATTGTCAAATATAAAACCTTCATAATTAATTTTCTCAAGTGATACAAAAAATGTTAAATAATTTAGTTTTTCCAAATTGATTTTCATTTAGATCTAAATTGTATACATTAATTTTGTTTTTTAAAAAAGAACAAAAAAGTGTGAGAATTATTTTCATTGACGTCAAAAATATGTGACGTCATTGATAAGACGCGTCATAGAAATAGTTCTATGATGACATTCTGAACATCTGAGACTAGACTGGACAACCTGCTCTAAATGACGTCAGGCTGGTTCCTACGTCACTGCGCTAGTCTGACTTCAATATAGAGACAGGTAGCGGGCAGCCATCTTGCCAGGAGGAATTCCTCCCGGCAGTGCGCACCTCTTTCTGCGCACATTACCAATGTAAACAAAAAACATGATCGGACGCTGAAGTCGCAATAAAGATGTCAACACCAATTAAATGGAGCGGTAGTTTAGGTTTAGCTTGTGGATTAGAGCCGAAACTATGCAATTTTTTTCTCATTTTCTCAATAATGGAATTTAACGGAACAATAATTAATATTTTGGAATTTGAGAAATACGGCAATAAATCAAATGAAATATGACTTATTGACTATGATGAGCGATTTGCCATAGCCGGTAGGCCTACGAATAGTACGATTGTATCTGATTATTATAAGAGCTGATTTTAAACTGTCGCTTTGTTTGGGTTTAAGATAATAAGATGTGGCACGATCAACGTTTAATTTGGCTAGCAATCTTAGACATTAAAGGGAAGCTTAACAAAACTTCTAGCTTATTCATTTTAACGCTGAACGCCATCATTAGGGATACTACCCGTCTATTTTTAGTAACACTACGTCAAAACATGGCTGCCCACTACCTGTCTAGTCTGCGGTAAGGTTTTCGTCGTTTACTCGCGTCACTCGAGTCGACTCCATTGCCGAGTTTACCCGGGTGAAACATCCCGAACGGTCCGAGTAGTCACATGACTTCAAAACAAAATGGCGAGACACCTACAGGCTTTTTTGCGTATAGGACGCCATTTTGTCACGTGACAAACCCTTTTACTCTCCGCTCAACGGGGAGTAAACGGGTGAGTCACGTAATGCGACTCGAGTCAGTCATGTGACCAACTCGATTTAAAACGCGAACGGTCTGGTGTCGACTCGAGTGACTCGGGTGAACAACGAAAACCCTACCTATATGCAAGTCAGAAAAGGAGTGACGTAGGAGCGAGTCTGACGTAATTAGAGCAGGTTATCCAGTCTAATCTGATCGAGACACACTACCTGCGGAGAAGTATCTCAGACACAGTCAATAGCCATCTTATCCATATCACGTGATCTGCACATCACAGGTCATCATTGACGTCAATGGGTCATGAGGTCAACAACACCTTATTGTAAACAATAGGTTTATCTTCAGCATTGTGTCCTTTCCACCCATAAAGACTATATAATTCGTACAGTCCCAACATTATGTTCTTTCTTCTTCCAATGATTTTTCACAAAAATAACATTTACAACTCATAGAATTGACGTTGTCTTCAATGACACTATAGAGTTAATTCACATGACGTCACACACATTGGCCGCCGCCATCTTGGTGGACAACCAGACTACACGTGATCCGATAGTTACAATGTTATTGCAGTTGGAATTATGATTGTTGCGCTTTTGTCATGTGATTTTTTATGTTGAATAAAGATTTTGTCTATGTATTTTAAATTTTATATTTAATTTCTATTAAAAACCGAATTCGACCGTGACATAACGCGTTTATAGCGACAAAACGCTATTTGTTTATAGGCTATACGTACCCGGTATAAAATAATTTGTTTATTTAAAATCCGAATTCGATCGTGGCATATAACGCGTTTATAGCGACAGAACGGTGTTTGTTAATATGAAATAATATTAAGTATTTTAATTTTTTTTACCATTATATTTATTTATATAGGAGAACTAGCTGCATAGTGTTTGTGTACCTACATGGATAATGTCTGACGTGGAAAATTATAAGTTAATAAGTTAGTTGCTGACGCGACATTTCGAGACCTACGTAAATTCAGTTTTTATTTTTATTTAATTTTTTTTTCATAACAAACCCATTAATTTAACACACACACACACACACACACTTATTATAGAAAATCGTGTGAGAAGCTCGATACCGTATGTAGGGTGATGATGAATCATTGAATCGAACGTTTGAAAAACTGTTCTGACTCACTGGATAAATTTTCTTTCTTTTTTTTGTAAATTTTAATTTGAGGTTTAATAATTATTCACTGATTCGATATAATCATCATTTTATTATTTCTGTTATTCATCTTTAATCAAGAGAAAATATCGTAAAAATGCAGACTTTCCGCTGCGCCGCCAACTATTTTACCATTGGTTAGAGCCGTCTAAACGCGGGAAAATTTCCAGTAACTTTTAGCTAACAGCATGCAAGCACAAAGGCGAACAATCTTATTTGCATATTGCATAGTTTATAGTATTATTGGCTGGAATTAATTTTAGATCGATAACCTCAATGACCAATATGTAGTAACGTACAGTGTGTAGTTGCTATATAATTTGCCATTAGGCCTTATTCTAAGTAACTAATAGAATAATTTCACGTCAACAAAAATATTTCAAGCACATATTTACTTTAGGCATCGTGATTCCAAAACCGAGTATCGAATTCAGCGATAGGCTACTTATTTTTGGTGCCAAAAATAAAATTTTCATTGGACGATATTCGAGGATTCGTTTACTTGGGCTTTATTTGCAGTCTGGGGGTTCGGGGTATTCTTTTTTTTGGGGGGGGGGACAAATTTGTAAGAAATGGCGAGAGCGATTTTATCTACGGAAGGGTGATGAAAAACCCGTCTAAAATGACGTTTGAGCGACAGCGATCGCTCGCCTCAAACGTGAAGCGCTGTTACATTGCTCGATTTGATATAGATTGAATACGAAATTACATAATATATCTTGTTAACTATCACTAAAAAGCATGTTTATTGCCCCTTTCAAATATATAAATAATTTTCCAGGACAGTCATATTTACATGCCTTGAAAAGCGATGAAAGTCCAGTGTGGTACGAAACTCGTATTATTTGACGGGAATAGGGTATTTAAATTAAAAATATGGGTTTTAATACAAAATTCCAGATATTATATTACGTATCACGGAAAAGCACGTTCATTGCTCTTTTCAAATATGTAAATTATTTTCTGGCGTATTTATATTTATTTAATCTGAAAAACAATCAATGTTGGATTGTACTAAAATCTATTACCATGATTACGAAGAGGCGGCATATTGTTGTCCACCAACATGGCGGCGGCCTGTATATAGGTCATGTATCGGGTACGCTCTATTGACGGGCGCGTCGAATTACCCAATAACACCCAATAACTGCCCAGTAACTCCAAAATATCAACCAATAACTACAAAATGTTGACTTTGGAAACACAAAATAACAATTTAGTTGAATTTAAGAAGCATCGCTGCTTTGTGTCCAAATCGGAGTTTCACGCTCATTCGCCTGAAGGGAGATAACTCGTATATGTGTTATTAATTTCTTGTCAACAAAAATGGTCTTAGACTAGTAATTAGTAGTAGTAGTGCGAGTTATAAATAGACAATTTTTCCCTTAATTTTTTTCTCCCCTCTTCCTGCATTTTTAGGGTTGACTTTTTGGTCTAGAATTGGAGAAAAGGGATCAAAATTGCAATTTCATAGCAGTTTTGGTTAATACTGATGATATTACAGCGGAGGGATAGGGGGTGTAAAGTGTCTTTTTGCAGAGCAATCATTGTGTCGGAAGTGAGATTTTCACCCCTGTCAACTTAAAATCCGTGTAGCAAAAAATCTAAACGGTCAACCCCCTACAAAATTATGATGAGATTGCCAAATGTTGTCCCCATTGTGCCTATAAAGATTGGAACCAACGGAATGTTGAGCAAAAAGCTACAGCCTGTGATGTTACAGTCATTTAACATTGAAGTCAATGGGCAAAAAATTGCTAGTCTGAGTCCAAATCACATATACGAGTTATCTCCCTGCAGCATTATCTCCGAAGCAGTTATGTCTTATGTAAACAATGCACGCGCCATTCAGCCAATGATTCACACCGCGTGCTGTGACAGCACGTGTTAAGGCAGTCATCTATGACAGAGATATTATACGAGACTCGTAATTCTCTGTGAAACAGATTGTTATTTACGTAGTGATTTTATATATAGTCCCACTCTTCCATATTTTGGAGAAAATATTAATGAAACGAATCTTTTTTTTATTATTATTATTAATATGTAACAGGCATTGCCTGAGTAGAGCGAAGCTGATTATT